AATAACAATAATGCTGCTGCTGCTGATAGTGGTAAATAATAGTAAAATAACAAGCACAGACATCAACAGAGTCATAGCTCAACAGTCACTATGCTGCACATAGACCCTCGCCAGGTCTCTCTGGTGAGGGTGTGGTGAGTAGTGAGATCAGTTACAGGGGTCTTTAGTTTCTTATCTCCATTAAACTTTTTAATAACCCCATCATTTGGAGACTACCCTTATCCCATTTTATTGGTGAGAAGACCAAGGCTCAGAGAGATTAAATAGCTTCCCTGGTACTGGCTGATTGCCTCTTTCATACATTTATCCAACAAGTGTCATTTCAAGTCTACCATGTGTCAGGCTCTGTCTCAGGGGTTGGGGATGTAACCTACATCCTCCCGTTTGTGAGCAACGTCCTTGCTTTCACGGAGCTGACAGTCTAGTGGCAGAAAGCAGACACCTACTCACCAAATAAATGAGATAATGTCAGCAAGTGGTAAGGGATTAAAAGGAAAGTAAAGCAGGATGAAGGGATCCATGGCGATGCGATTACTGTTTCAGAGAGGGGTATGAGGAAAGGCTCCTGAGGAGATGACAGCTGCACAAAGTCCTTCCTGATGACAAGGAGCGAGCCACTGAAGACCCAGCAGGAAAATGTTTCAGGCAGAGGGAATGGTAAGTGCAAAGGCCCTGGGGCAAGAGTGTCTGCGGTCTGTTCAAGAAGCCGTAAGACTGCAGTGTGTTTGCTGGTGAAAGTGGAAGCAGGTGAGAGCATTGAGGCAGGGCGGGTTCCGAGTGTGCTGAGCACCGCAGGCGTGACACAGACTTCAGCTTTTACTCTGGTTCAGGAGGGCAAGCGAATGGAGTGTTAGAGCTGAGGAGGGACAGGATCTGTCCTGGGTTTTGAAAAGGGTCGCTCCGGCAAGGGTGTGGTGAGTAGTGAGATCAGTTACAGGGGTATTAAAGTCCCACATGTGAGAGAGGACCGAGGGGTGAGAGGAAACTGGGTTCTGAGGGACCAGATGCAGCGTATGTGAGAGATGAAAGAAGTCTAGGATTATCCCACAGTTTCTGAGGGAGGACTGGACGGAGGGGTGAGGAAATCAGTAATTCATCTGATCCGTATGACATCTGAAATGCCTAAGAGCCACCCAAGTGGAGACCATGAGTTAGCTGACAGCTGGGTGTCGACATGTCTTTGGTTCAATGAAACAAAACAGGGACAGAATTTTACATCTCCGGGCTATCAGCATGTGGATGGCATTTTTTTTTAAATTTATTTTGTATTTTTTTTTACATCTTTATTGGAGTATAACTGCTTTACAATGGTGTGTCAATTTCTGCTTTATAACAAAGTGAATCAGTTATACATATACATATGTTCCCATATCTCTTCCCTCTTGCGTCTCCCTCCCTCCCACCCTCCCTAACCCACCCCTCTAGGTGGTCACAAAGCACCGAGCTGATCTCCCTGTGCTATGCGGATGCTTCCCACTAGTTATCTATTTTACGTTTGGTTTAAGTCACGAGATGTGATGAGGTCATCTCAGGAGTGAGTGTGGGGAGAAGAGGAGAGCGTGCATGTGGAGAGCTGGGGGAGAGGAAGACAGTGTTGGCCTGGGGTGCTCCAGTGTAGGAAGGTGAGGGGGTGAAGTAAGGCGACAGACACGGAGAAGGAGCAGTGCGGTGAACCAAGAGAGACTGTCCTGGAGGTCAAGTGGAAACAGTGCTTCACAATGAGGGCAGTGACCATCCGCGTCAAATGCTGCTGCTAGGTCAGGTATGCCAGGACTAAGAATTAACCCTCAGAGCTGGCAGTGTGGAGGGTACCAGATACCCCGACCAGAGCAATTTCCGTGCTTGCAACTGCTGGCTGGATTCTGCACCCAGGTATGTGCAGCACACAGGTGCCTGAATCTCCCCTGCCCTGTCTTCTCCTCGGGCTGCAATTCCCTTCACCTCCTACAACTCAGTTCATGTGCTCCCTCTATCATGAAACCTTCCCTAATCCCGCCAGTCAAATCTAGCTCCCATAACATTTACCTTGTTTTTGAATTATTTATTGGTGACTATGTCTGGATACTTGTTGAATGGACAAGTCCTTGGATTATAGAAATATGCTATGTGAACTCATACAGAAGAAGACAATATGCTCAACAAAAGTGCAGTATGATTACTGCCTCTATGAAGGCAGCACAAAAGTCTCTAAAACAAAAACATCTGCAGATAGTCACCTGTGAGCACAGTGTCACAGGGTGCTGCCTAGTCTGCTGGGCTGATGGTGGAGCAGTGCGGCAATGCTGGTGCTTAAAGAAGACCCAATGGTGGTTTAAAGGATTTGGGCTCTGGGCCCAGCTTTACCACTGGGCAGTGTAACCTTGGGTGAGTCACTCCAAACTTCTGGGACGCAGTTTCTTCACCCTTGAAATGAATCGCTTGTATCACATCTGCTCAAAGATCCTCCCACCCACCCTGGTTCATTCTCAGATCAGAAACTGAGTGGTGTTAAGAGTTACTTGTGTCCTTTCTTTTTATTTAAACTGTAAAATCTCAGAGGACAGGTCTTACGCTTATTAATACTTCTTTGCATCAAGCACCAGGTCCTGGTGGCTGCACAATAAATATTCTTCGATTTAATAGATCATAAGGGATGAATCCCCTTGGGTCTATGAAATGTACACTGGCCATGTTCAGTGATCTCCCTCTGACCTGTCACACCTTCCTCTCAAGTCAATCAATCTTTCCTTCATTCATTTACCCTGGAGTTCTTACTGGGGGCCATATTCCCTAGAACTATAAAGTTCTGGTCCATGACCCAGCTCTGTCACTAATTTTCTGTCTCTTAGCCCTGCTGGCTTTGAGTTGAGGAAACCAAGACACATGGTCGAAAACACAAGCCAGAACAGTGGAACAGGGCCGTCTTGGATAATCTAGCCCATGAAACTGAGGGACTTGGAAAAAGTAGTAGGTTATGCCACATTAGGGAGTCTCTTGCATGCCAAGCTCAGAATTTGCGCTCAGTATATTGATTCACCATATCTACGGTATCCTGGAGGGGGCAGAGGGTGGAGGAAGGGAAACCAGTTAGAAAACTGAGAAAGTAGTGCAGGTGGTGGGTGAGGTCTGAACGAGGAAAAGGAAGAGATGGGGCCACTGCCTCAAGCCTGTTCTTGGATGGCACCTTTGTTAGGGACAGACCTGAGGACCCTAAGTCAACGCCCACTCTTCTCCAGGTACCGAGTCCATTCTTGAGATATTCCCTGCATGCTGGCAGCATGGAAAGTATCAGACAGAAAGTGGGGATGTGGCAGAAAGTAAAGACAGAAAGTACACATCTAAACACAGCGTGCTGAGTACTGGCCGGAGGTACAAACAGGGCGCTAAGGGGGACGGGGCTACGCAGAGGAAGCTATGCTTGGACTGCGAGTGCCGGATTCCCTCCTTTTGCCTCTGCAGATCCACTCTCCACCTTTCTCCACTTTGCTCTCTGACTTGCCCTCCAGGAGGCTGAACTGTATGCACCACAATGGGCTTCCTTGTCCTTGGCTTCTGGCTGCAGATCAGAGTAGGGGGGGAGAGGGAGGGCAGAGTATAGATTCCCTTCACTCCCAGAGGTTAACCTTGAGTTAGTTGTGCCCCTCCCCCAAGAGTCCCGACTCCTCCCAGGGTGGTCTATTCTACAAGACCCTCCTTCTGGGTTCTGGTTACTATTCTCTCCTCCTAGGTCTGACTCATGACAGCTCTGCAATTATGATGCCCTGTGGTTTTCTTATGCACCACCAGCTGTACCTTTGTAATTCATTCCTTTAGCCCAGTTTGATTGCATCTCTCTCTCTTGTTGGGACTCTCACTGATACTGGGCCTTTGAAATAAGAATTTGCAATTCTTTGGGACCTTGTCCCTTAGTAAACTGTGAGCTCTTCCATGAGGAGTTACGTCTTGTTAATCTGAGCTCTGTTTCTCCCCACCTCCACTGTTTACCAGAGTTTCCATTGTAATGGTTGTTTATCAATTATTTGTTAAAAGATGGTAATTTCTCCTCGGTCACAGCCATTTCTTTGACCCCAGCTGGTGCTGTGTGGCTCAGTCCCAAATACTCCCCTCTGAGTCCGTGGCCCCTGGCAAGATGACTCAGGGAGGGCCTAACGCTCCATTTCCCCCTTCATCTGCTGGCTGCTCTCACCTCACTGTTTCTTAATCAAGAGGCCAAATGTTCCTACTAAGGCCTTTTCCTGCCCAATGCCCTGAAGTTTCCAGACTTCACCTCAATGTCAGATGCATGTGACCTCAGAAAAGACCCTAAATCTCTCTCTATCATAATTTCCAAGACCGCAAAATCAAGATAAAAATAATACTAACTTTACAGGGCTGCTGGGAGAATAAAAACAAACGTGACATTCCACAAAAGTTGTTGTCTTTCCCATGAAATATATCAGTGACTCTGAAGAATAAGCACATTCTCTCCACCCCCCCCCCCCCCCTACTTTCTTTGACTGTTTCCATGAGGTAAACACTGCATTAATACATCGAGCAAAATCATAATAACAACTGATATTTCCTGAGTACTTACTCTCTGCCGGGCACTATTCTAGGCACTTTATATGTCATTTCATTTAATCTCCACAAGAACCATGTAGGATACAGCTTTCTTTATCCCTATTTTACAGATGAGGAAAAATAAGGGCACCCTGATGAAGTAATTTGCCCAAGGTCAGGAGCCAGAACTGAAACCTAGGAAGCTCAACCCAAAGCCTTTGCTTAACCAGTCTCATTGGTTTACATACATGAAGACGTACGTGAAGACAAATTATAAAGATTGGCCACAATTAATGAACTATCATGGGGAAATCATTAAGAGACTAAAAGTAAAGTTTGCACTTGTGCAAATTCTTAGGAATTATAATTCAGCTAGGTGTTGCACTCCAACATTCAAACTTAATCCATTGTGTTTGGTCAACTGAACGGCATTCTTAGCACCTCAGTGTCATCAAGGCCACGTGTTCTAGCCAGAGACTCACCTGAACTTAGCGCATGCTCCACTTCCTGCATGATCACCCCGGGGGGGGCAGTGGTGGTCTCCGTGTCTATCAGCATACAGGTCACTCTGGGGGGCACAGTTGCTTGGGCCGTGGTCTCGGTGGGCACTGGCTCGGCGGGGGCATGTGAAGTGGCTACGTGGCCAGAGATGTGCTCCTCCGCTGGGGGCTCTGATGTGGTTAGAGCTCCTGTGGGCTTGGTGCTGGCCTCAGCGGAGTTACGGTTGGTGCTCACAGGGGCAGAGGGAACCTCCTCTGGTGGTGAGGTTGATGGGGGTGAAGGTGATGAGGCTGGCGCTTGAGGGGAGGTGAGTGCGGGAGACTCAACGGGGGGCTGCGACCCTGTAGCTGCCACCCCGGCCTCGGGAGTGTCTGAAGTGTGTTCCTCGAGCGTGGGTGTTAAGTGGACCCCACCGCTTGTTGGTGAGGCGTCTGTGTCTGTGCCCTCCCAGTTGGAGGCTGGGCTGGTGGGTTCCTCTTCTCTGGGCTCTGTGGAGACGTTCTTGGCGGATGGAGATGTCCGGGCCGATGCTGTAACTGGGAGGACCGAGCTGCTGGGTGTTCCACCGGTAGGGGAGGCAGGAGGGCTTTGTGGAGAGAAGGCCGTTGGTGGGCTGCTCTTTGCCGGAAGAGAAACAGGCGAGAGGGCTGATTCAGACGCGCTCTGTAGCCTCAGTCCTGTAGAAGAGCCAGTACAAAGGTGGTTAATGTGTGAAAACCTGCGCGGCGAGGCCGTTTTACAGTATTTTCACGTCTTTCTCATTTTACACTGTGCCTCTATAACTGTGAAGGTGACTTTAAAAATAGTTTCTTCCCACTGTTGCTCTCTCCTCCCTTGGTGACTATCAGTAGGAACCAGCCTGAAGGCTCTGCAGGAGCAATTAGTGGATCGGTCAACACAAGTCCAGCCAGTACACAGCATGAACTAACCTTGTCTTCTGCTTGCTGAAAGCCAGGCCCTTAAAAACCGAGACACTCTGCGGAATTGATTTTATGGGAATTGGTCTGGACAGTCGAGGGAGCTGTTGCACAATGCTTGCGGGGATGCCCAGCCTGTGTGATGGGTGTGGGGAAAAGGCATGGTTGGTGAGTGCAAAGCCAACCACTCACTGATTGGCTCGTCCCTGTCAGAGGAGCTCATTGATTGGCTGTCCCCTGCCGTAGGAGCTCACTGATTGGCTGCTCCCTGTTAGGGTTGTGAGCTCCGCAACCTCGTACAGGGATGCAAGGGTTATGGGCTTGTCCACCGGGGTGAATAAAGCTGTGAGCACATTTCCTGTGGAGGAGTAAAGGGGGAGGTCCCAGATTAAAAGCTGACAGGAAGAAGGAATCTGAAGTTTGGAAATATTTTCTTAGACTCGAACCTAGTTCTCCCAAATTCTAGCCTGGTGTCTTTACCATCAAGTCATTTCGCCAAATATTCTCTTTCATATTTTGTAAAATTTAGAGTTAGTTTCCTTTCTTCATTCCTCCCTACCTCCATCTACCCATTCAGTTTCATTCATTCATTTATTCATTCAAGTATTTAATAAATGGCTTCTATGTACTAGCACTCTGCTAGACCCTGAGTTTATGATTTCACTTTTTATGTAACACATCTCTTCATTGTCTCTCCACACCCCTTACCATTCCCCAACTAGCTTTTCCTCTAGTCATTTCCATCTCAGTGGATGGCAAGACCTATCAGGTACTCAGTTGAAAACCCAGATATCATCCTTAATGCATCTCTTTCCCTCACTGCCCCTCCTCCATCCAATCCATCAGCAAATCATGATGACTCTACCTTAAAAAGATATCCCAATCCAGTCTCTGCTCATCACCTCCCTTATTATCTCAACATCACCTGAGCCACCAGTCACTTGTCTAGACAACTGCCACAGTCTGTTTTTTTTTTTTTTTTGCAGTACGCAGGCCTCTCACTGTTGTGGCCTCTCCCGTTGCAGAGCACAGGCTCCGGACGCGCAGGCTCAGCGGCCACGGCTCACCGGCCCAGCCGCTCTGCGGCATGTGGGATCTTCCCGGACCGGGGCACGAACCCGTGTCCCCTGCATCGGCAGGCGGACTCTCAACCACTGCGCCACCAGGGAAGCCCTGCCACAGTCTCTTAATTGGTCTTCTAGCTTCCAGATTTCTTCCTTTCAGTCTACTTTTCACATGGCAGCCAGTATAATATTTTAAAGTGGCAAATCAGATTAACTGACCCAAACCTTCCCAAGGTTGTGCTTAGAACAAAAGCCAAAACTACTCCCCTATGTCATCATCCCATGTTCTCATCATCATTCTAGTTGATCTCTACTCAAATGTCAGCTCCTCCTCAGAGGAGCCTTCCCCAGACAGTCCTAACCAAAGTCATTCCTACTCCTTCCCCTTGCTTATTTTTTAAAAGATTTTTTGATTTTTTTATTGTTAAAATATACATAACATTTTAACCGTTTTTAAGTGTACAGTTCATTGGCCCTAAGTACCTTTTCACTATCGTTCAACCGTCACCACCATCCATCTCCAGAACTTTTTCATCTTCCCAAACTGAAATCCTGTACCCATTAAACAATAACTCTCTATTCTTCCCTTTCCCCAGCTCCTGGAAACCACTATTCTACTTTCTATCTCTACGAATATGACTGCTTTCGGTACCTCATATAAATACAATCATACGATATTTGTCCTTTTGTTTCTGACTTATTTCACTTATTAGCAAAATATTGTCAAGGTTCATCCATGTTATAGCACATGCCAGAATTTCCTTGCTTTCTAAGGCGAAATAATATTCCATTGTATGTATACCACATTTTGTTTATCCATTCATCCACTGATGGCCACTTGGGTTTCTTCCATCTTTTGCCTATTGTGAATTATGCTGCTCTGAATACGTGTGCACAAATATCTGTCTGAGACCATGCTTTCAATTGTTTGGGGTCTATATACTCAAAAGTGGAATTGGTGGTTCATATGGTAATTTTATGTTTAATTTTTTGAGGAACTGTCACACCCTTTGCTCATTTTTATTTTTCATAAAAATAAATAAAATAAAATAGTTTCTTCTTGAAACTACATATTATTTATTTGCCTAATTTACCTCTCTTCTACCAGAATGTAAGCTCCATGAGGGTACAGGGACCTGGTCTTATTTATTGCTGTTTCCTCCAAGCCTAGAAGAGTGCCTAGGTCATCATAATTGCTCAATAAGTACTTGAGGAAAGGAGGAAGGAAGGGGGGAAGGAAGGAAGGAAGAGAGGGAGGGAGGGAGGAAGGAAGGAGAGAGGAAAGGAGAGAGTAAGGGAGATAAGGAGGGAGGTAAAGAGGGAGCGTGGAAAAATGAATTAACTTAGGAACTTTATTTAAAACAATACCCCAGTATTTCTCTACTCCCTTCAACACATCACTTAGTATGGCCACATCCATCATAGCTGCCTGGGGGCTGGCTGCCTACCTGGTGTTATTTGAAGGCAGGAAACTTGCTTACAATGTCAACCTCTGTCCTTCCACCACAACATACACTGATGCCTGATGTCTTGTTAGGTCTTCAACTATTTAACTCTCCAAACTCTGAGGAGATTTCCTTGGGGGTAGCATATAGGTAACAGCCAAACATGATCAAGATTCATAAGGGAAAAAAAAATGGGCCAGATTTTCGCACAGAGGAAGGGAGAAAAGAGGAATGCAGAGGGATGTAAGCATTTGGGATAAGATCTGCTCACTTCTTCATTCATCTGCATGACAGACTCAGTAGCTGACGGAAAATTGTGCTCTAGAATTTAACCTGAAAACAGAGTTTTCTCAATATTTAACTGAATTTAACACTTGGATTGTTATCAAAATGATTGGTTTAATTTTTTTTTTCTGAGAGGAAGTTACATTTTAATCAGTAAGTATCACGACAGAGGGACTTTTGTTAGCTAATTCATGGTATCTGTGTATAAAGTGACAGTTTCCATCCATCTATGGGATCCTGAAAAGTTCTCTGTGTACTGACTGTATTTTCCAGTGGCTTATCATTTTAGCGATGTTGCGTGTTCATTTCTGATGGGCTTTCACCTGACTCCTGCCAAGCTGATTGGTTTAATTTTATTTAAAGGTGTTGGTCAAGACCGTAAACGACAGGAAAGTTACCCTCCCAGTAAACTGGGGGCACACTTCCCAAATTAAGCCACATAATAGTCCATGTTTCTGTGGTTGACTTTTGGGAGCTGTGAAGTGTCAACAATTTCAGGATGAATATAGGTCAAGAGGTCTTTGAAATATGGACAAAACAACAGTTGGGACAAATATTATGAAAATATCAAATCTTCATATGTGACCTTAGAGCACACTGGCTTTGCATCCTGGTAGCTCTCATAGCTCATTAAAGATTCTGAGGCCAAAAAAAAAGAGACAATGTTTAACTACTGTTTCTAGTATCATATAATAGGTGGGCAGATGGAGGTAGAGCCTTAGTCTGGCAGCTGAGTCAGAGTCTTTGGAATTCTGGGATGAATGAAGAATGAGTCATATGCAAAGGAGCAAGACTTCATTCATTCATTCAAGCTTTTATTGAGTAACTTCTATGTCCATGGCCTTACCCTCAAAGAGTTCACTATCTAACAGAACAGAAAGGACACACAACTTTCTGTAATATGATGTGATAAGCATCTTATGGAATTACAAGCAAGTTGCACTGGGAGCCCCAAGGAAAGATGAATAAATATTGTATGGGGACTGTGGAATGCAAAAATATACAAAGTCATTTTCAAATGACATTTAGAAAAGTCACAGAAGAGATGACATTTGAGTTGGTTCTGAAAGGATGAGACTACACAAGATGCCATTAAAGTGTATGATATTCAGGGCGACACCTGCATTGTCATTTCCAGTGGAGCTAAAAGCTGTACTATGGAAATCATTATAGTGCTGAAAATGACATGCTGCAAGAATTAGTTTTGTGGCTGGAGACATCCATTTTCTTGTTTAATTCTGACTCATATACTTTTATAACTCCCACCCTTCCTGCTTCCAAAGAGGACTGAGGTGGTCATTCCCGTGGCTACCTATTTAGTACTTATTTAAAGTACTTTGTAGTCTCGTTCAGATAATTCCGACTCCTAACAAACAGCAATGCATAGAAATTGTGGGACAACGCTGCTCATCTTCACTTGGACAAGGCATTAAAAGCCTCTGCTTTGCCTGTTCGATGATACATTCCATATTGCTCTGAGTACATGAGGGTTGGTCTTCATGAAGATATCCAAGGCTCAGGCGCCATGAAGATATCCAAGGCTCAGGCGCCATGACTTTCATCATGAAGATATCCAGGCTCAGGCGCCATGAAGATATCCAAGGCTCAGGTGCCATGACTTTCATCATGAAGATATCCAAGGCTCAGGTGCCATGACTTTCATCATGAAGATATCCAAGGCTCAGGTGTCATGACTTTCATCATGAAGATATCCAAGGCTCAGGCGCCATGACTTTCATCATGAAGATATCCAAGGCTCAGGCGCCATGACTTTCATCATGAAGATATCCAAGGCTCAGGTGCCATGACTATCCTAGAGAATGCTTGCTGTCCTAGTTGGCTCAGGCTGCCAGAAAAAAGTACCATAGACTAGGTGGCTTTAACAGTAGAAATTTGCTCTCACAGTTTGGAGGCTGAGAAGTCTGATGTGGGCCAGTTCAGGTTCTTGTGAGAGCTCTCTGTTCCT